CTTAGAGTCATTAACAAATAATGACTAAAACAATAATAGAACAAATACTTTAAGCAAATGAAAACCGTCTTCCCCCCCAGCAACTGTGGCTTGGCAGCGCCAGTGACAATGACGAGTGCAGCTGCCTAAAAGTGCTCATTCCCAGATGAAGCCCAGGCTGCCCTGTTTTAACGTAGCTTGGATCGCACCTGGGAAGCGATGGCAGATTTACCTAGGCAGGGTCACAGTGGGTACAATCTCTCATGCCATGTCCTCATGCCAGTTCATGTGCTTGTAACAAAAGGCAGCTGCATTGCACTGTCCAGCCAGCTTCGTCAGGACCTTGGAGAGTGCCCAGGGTGTAGCTCTCCTGTACAGCAGGCAGCTGAGGCATGTTGTCTTGGCAAAAGCCTGGTGAAGACAGTTCTCCTGTCCTGGCTGTGCTCCTTAAGGACACTTGTCTGCGTCTGTAACTGCTGGCCTCTGTGAAGCTGAAGAGCTCGAAAAGGTGCGGAGGGCTTGTCTTCAGAGTGTGATATAAGTGGAAAGTCCATGTCCTCAAGCTGTTTGGGCACAGACAAACGTGCTGAAGGTTCCCCTTTTCTGATCAGGACAGCCTTTATCTCCTTGTCATCTAAGTTTTCCCAGCACAGTGCAAGGGACTGTGCTTGGTTGTCCGTGTCAGTATCTCAAGCTCAGAAGCAAAGTGGGGCTTCCTCTCTGTGATGTCCCTTTTCTACCAGTTTTAGTGGATTCCTCTAAATTAGGGCTAGAGTAGACACTGGCAGAGTATTATTCTTACACTGCATTTCTATCCCACCAGTTTTTCTTCTTGAGAGGAACCCACGGCGGCTTAGGCACTGCTCCTCTGCTCCATTCTTATCCTCACAACGGTCTGTGAGGTGGCTAGGCTGAGAGGCAGGGCCTGGCCCAAAGCCACCCAGTGAGCTTCATGGTTGAGTGGTGCTAGCATTCAGATCTTCCAGGCGCCCAGTCCAACCCTCTCATCACTGTACAACAGTGGAGGACAAGGTGATTTAGAAATAGAATAGGTTAGTTATAATGAAATATTCTGCAAAATTGCAATCTGGAATCTCATTTTATTTTATTTATTTAGAACTTTTATATGCCATCACCACATGCCCTGGCATTTCAGGATGGCTTACAAATGTACAATTATGTAAAACCAATAAAACAATAACAGTTCCATAAAATTATATTAAAACGCAAACAAAAAACAAAAAGTGACAGTTAATGATAAAATATTAATTTTTAAAATAGCAATTAAATAAAAAGGTTTTAACCTGGTGCCAAAAAGAATATAAACTCGGCACCAGGCGCACCTCTCCAGGGAGTGCATTCCATAATCTGGGTGCCACTGCGGAGAAGGCCCTGCTCCGGGTAGTTGCTCTTTTTATCTCCTTTAAAGAGGGCTCCTGGAGCAGAGCCTCTCCTGCATATCTTAAGGGGCATGAGGGCATGTAAGGGAAGAGGCGCTCCTTCAGGTATCCTGGTTCCAAGCCATTCAGGGCTTTATATGTTCAAACCAGCACCTTGAATTGAACTTCAACTGGGAGCCAGTGGAGCTGGTAGCAGACTGGCATTATATGAGAAAAACAACCAGTTCCAGTCAGCAGCCTGGCAGCTCTGTTCTGTACCAGCTGAAGTATCCGGACCGTTTTCAAGGGCAGCCCCACGTAGAGCGCATTACAGTAATCCAAGCAGGAAGTTACCAGAGCATGTATCACTGTTGCTAGGGAGTGCTCATCCAGGTAAGGACATAGCTGATGGATCAGTCAATGTTGTAGGAAAGCACTCCTTGCCACTGCTGCCACCTGGAACTCCAGTGACAGCTCTGGGTCAAGGAGTACTCCCAAGCTGCGGATCCTGTCCTTTAGAGGAAGTGCTGCCCCTTCCAGAACTGGGTCAAAATCACCTACCTGGAGACCCGCACCGCCCACCAACAGGACTTCTGTCTTATCTGGATTGAGGCTCAGTTTATTGGCCCTCATCCAGCCCATTACCTCAGCCAGGCACCGGTTCAGTACAGCAACCGCCTCACCTGGAGCAGATGTAAATGAGAGGTAGACCTGGGTGTCATCAGTATACTGATGACTCCTCAGCCCACACCTCCTGATGACCTCTCCCAGCGGTTTCATGTAGATGTTAAATACCATGGGGGACAAAATAGAGCCCTGCGGGACTCCATGGCAAAGCTGCCATGGCACAGAGCTATAGTCCCCCAGCACCGCCATCTGGAATCGGCCAGCGAGGTAGGAGTGGAACCACTGCCACGCAGTGCCTCCTTCTGCCAAGTCAGCCAGCCTATCCAGAAGTTTACCATGGTCGATGGTATTGAAAGCCGCTGAGAGGTCCAGGAGAACCAACAGGGACGCGCACCCCCTGTCCCTCTCCCTGCACAGGTCATCGTACAGGGCGACCAAGGCAGATTCAGTACCATAATTAGGTCTGAAGCCAGACTGAAATGTGTCCAGATAATCAAGTTTCATCCAAGAGTGCCTGCCACCACCCGCTCTGACACCTTGCCCAAAAACAGAATATTGGCCACCGGTCTAAAGTATGAAACAATCAACTTTTGTTATATAAACAGGGTGATATTATTTTGATATTGCAGGTATGAGTGCAGACTGATTGGTACTTTTCATTCGTGGGTAAATTGGGGGTGCCCCTTGTCAGGATTGTCTGGTGGAGGGGTGGATTTTTCAAGAGTGCTTGTCAGAGTTGCTTTCAGTATTAGTTCTTGTTTCTTCAGCTACTTTTTGCAACCCTGCCTTTCAGAATGCATAGGATCATATTACATTTCAGCCCTGGTGTGGCAGCTGCTGATGAGAGCATCCCTAAGATTTGGCTTTAAGCCTAATCATATAAAGACCTTGGTTCAATTTAGAATTACTTGTTTTGGAAACTAAGTCTCTCTCATTTCCTAAAGCCTGCAGTTTTCTATTTCTGCACACGTAGCCTTGATTAAAATTTCAGATTGTGCTAGCCTGATTATTAGTTGATAGAAATCGGTATACTGTCTATATTGCCTAAATAGAGCTTTTCTAGTAAAATAAAGATATATTTTAAGTTGAATATATATCTATAATGATTTGTCTAGTAAAAAATACATATTTAAGGTTCTAGTAAACCAATATATTTAAAGCTTTGAATGTAATAATCAGCAGAGACACTTCTGCTATACTAAACCTTATGTTGACTGTAGAGATGGTTTCTCAGTCCTGTAGAGAAAATTAAAAGGGAGAGGTTCACAAAAGAAAGGTTCACAAATTTTGGCTGACCTTAGTTGTCAAAGGAAAATTTCTGGTCACCGGGAACCTGTCCCTCTCTGAGCAGCAAAGGGGTGAGAGTGAGAATTGGTGAGAATTGTCCCACAGTTGCTCTCCAGGTTGGAGGCATTTGTAGGACCTGGGAAGTGCAGATGTGGGGTGTGTTTTCTCTCCACTGTGCTGAAACCTCATTTTAGAGGCATGCTAGATATCCATCTGTTCTTGCAAGCATCTCTGTGAAGTTTACCATTTTATGTATTACATAGATGTTCATGTTTTATATTTTTTTGTTTCTTCTATGATTTGTGCCCACTGCTTTGAAATCTGTATAAGTAAATAAGTTGGGGAAAACAAAAACAATGGCTGAGGTGCGTTCAGAAACCCAGAACTGCAGTGCAAAACCCAGCTGGGGAGAACTGCTGGGGCTCACTTTTGCGCTTTGTGCTTCTATCCCAGAAGTGCAGCGCCTCAACAACAAGGCCATGGACCTCCGATCCAGCTCGAGGGAGAAGGGAAGGTGCTTGTTTTGGCAGCACACTTTAGAAACACTGGACAAAAACTAACCCAGCTTTCCTCCCAGCCACAGCATGGAAAGGGGAGCATGAAGCACCTTACAAGGATGGCTGAAACACCCCCAGGAGGCAGCGCAATAGCAGGAAAAATTCCTGCTCCCTTCCCAGGTGCAAGATTGGGAAGGTGCAGATTGGGAAGAGGCAGGTGCTGATTGAGAAGAAGGCCAGGGCTCATCACATTGGCCATATTGAGAGAAATTGTGACCCTGCCCCTGGATGCAAGTTATCACCTTCTGCCTCGTAACAGCATGCATCTTTTACAATGACCACGACGCAGTCATACGATTTAGGACTTGTATTTGAATATGCACAGTAGGTCCAGAATTTCCCAGGACAGCGCTCTTTGAACCAAGGATATTACAGACACAAAAACAGAACCCAGGCTCCCAGACAGAGGACAGTCATACTGAAATGCAGACTGTGTGTACATAAGAGTTCAAACAAGGCAAATCATGAAAGTTGTAACTGGTGAATTTGGACATAACGAAGCATCGTGCATCATCACAGAACATTTACTTTGTGGCATTTCTTACCCTCTAGAGGGCAGAGTATCAAGGTCATCTCACTTGAAAGAACTGCAATGAACTGAGGAAGATGCAGGATGGTATTAGAAGAGGTCTTCCATTAGGTTTTACTGTAACTGGATAAACCATGTCCATAAGATGATCATATATAATACATGCCCCAATGCTGAACTGAAAATGGAGACAGACAGAAATATGTCCAAGTAACACATGACTTTTCAATTAAGAAAAGAGAAAACTAAGAAGAAAATGTTGCTTAAAATGTTTTAATCTTAATTGAGTTGCAAACACAAAAATTGAGAAAGGTTGTTCAAAAAGTTCCTTTTCAATTACTACCAGAACTAGAAGGAACCTAATAAAATTAAAAGAAAAGAGTAAATGTTTTGCCATGCTGTGGTATACCTGTTTAAATTGAGAGAGGAACAATTGTTAAAATCTTGAACAAATTATTTTGTGCTTTTTAAGGACATAGAGCTACGTAATGGAGTCCATGCTGTGCACAACTCCAACAACATGACTGTGTGACTTGTTTGCTTGGAAGAACCATTGTTACAGATATAGGTATTTATAAATTCCGAAGATAAATTTTGAATTGCAAAGTATTTAGTCAGACCTTTTCTTTTTTAAAAATACAGGTATATAGAAGTCTTGAAGGAACATAAGCCTAAACTGGTTTGGGATGAACAAATAGCTGAACATTATTTTGAATACAAAAAGTAAGTTGCAACCCTTATTTCTTTTATAAAGCTAATGAATGCAGAACTGCTCCTAAACTGTATACATTCATAGGAGAAGCTGCCCTGCACCCAGTTTCACTTGATGCCCTGCATCAGTAGCACAGCAATGCTATATCTGCACTGAGTCCTGCTTTCTTAACAAAAGCAAAAAGATTTAGTAAATGTAGATTATGAAAATGTCTGTGATTGTTTTAGCCACCTATTTAGGGTTATTTATTTTTTTCCTTTTAGTAGAAACTAAACATCAATGTCTATTGATGCTCTTTTTTGTACAAATATAGCTTTGAAAGGTCACTGTAAAATTATTTATTTTTTAATTGCTATACTGCCCAACCACTGAAGCTCTTTGGGTGGTTCACAATAGCACATTAACAAAAAATAGAATACAACATTATATGTGTGTAGTGATTAAGAGTGTGGCAGTGGGACTCAGGCAACCTGGGTTCTAGTCTCTGCTCAGCCATGGAGCCAACTGAGTGACTTTGGGCCAGTCACAGACTCTCAGCCCAGCCTACCTCACAGGGTTGCTGTTGTGGGGATAAGACTGAGTGCAGGAAGAAGAGACTGATGTAAGAAGCTTAGAGTTCTTTAAAAGAAAAAAGGCAGGATATAAATCTAGTAAATAATTGCAACATGTTAAAGCATCATAAAAGTCAACAATATAAAATTTAGAATTGAAAAGCTGAGAAAACCCTATTAAACCCTGTCTAACAACTAGCAGGCCTCAGTAACTAATTAAATGTGCTGCAGTATAGGAGAGACTTTACCTGGTGCCAAAAACATAGTAAAGTTGGCTCCAGGCGGACTTCAGTGGCAAGCTCGTTCCACTCTTCTAGGTGTGATGAGGTGACAGTACCAGCAGGAGAAAGCTGGTAAGCACGTTTTCCTCCTGTTAAAATGAGTGAATACTGTAAAGTGAAGTTTGGCCCTAAGTGTGTCTTTGGAGAACTATGTAGACCGAAGTTTATGAGCACAATGGAGGCTGCCATTCATCTTTGATTCCTTTTGGTAGACTGCTGGATCATTATGCTAGTTAGGAGTTGTTTCACTCTCCCTCTCCGCATCCCTGCCTCCTTGCCCCCACTGTTCTCTTGAAGAAAGCAGATTTGGAGAGAAATAGATAAGGTACATCTCACAGTATTATCACTTTTGATGACTGTTCTCTTTTCTTTGTCTTTTTTTTTATTTGTGCTTTTCAGAAGTAAAGGAGGGAAGCATGCAGTCTTCTACCCCACCTTAAAGGTATGCATATTTTCACTTTGGAAACAAAGAACAGTATGACGAAAGGCCTAATCTGATTTTAATGGGGCAGGGTTATACCCAAACATAAGCTTGTTTTACTGACAGGCAGATGCAGGCATTAGTTGAATAAACTGGTGCATGTTGTCTGCTCTGTTCGCTAGGGCTAAATTGTCAGATTATTTAGTGGCTAAAAATGTAGTTAGTTTTAATGACTTATTCTAAAATGAAATGAAGGATCCTTCCAACGCTTCTTGTTTCTGTGCAGCGTCCTCCCTCCCAACCCCCAAACACCAATCAGTTCCTAACCTGTATATTTACTGAACTTAAGTATCTATTATGTTTCTTTTCTGTTTTGCAGTCCATCCAACTGAGGTTAGAGCTTGCAAAGGAACTGGGCACAGGAATAGCCATCTGGGAACTGGGCCAAGGCCTGGATTATTTTTATGACTTGCTTTAAAATAAGACACATTCTTTTCTTCATTGACTTTTCATCTTCAGTCAACTGAAGCATATAAAAGGGGAGGGGGATGCAGGCAGGAACATTAGTTTTGGGGATGTAATGTAATTTATACGAAATCAACTTCAGATTTTCCCAATAAAGTATCTCCTTTGAAGTTACTGTGCTTCATGTAATGCATGGAGAATGGTAATAAAAAGCTGGAGTTGGAAGATCCACCAGTGCCAGCCTGCTGAGAACATTACAGGTGACTTGATTTTGGTGAGAAACGGTAAGACCTCTTCATTTTTGTAATTTTTGAAAATGTTTGATGTTAGCTGAAGGTATAATACTTGCAAGCCAATCCTGTACTTTTTTACAGTAGCACAGTGAAACCTACTCCCCAGTAAGAATGCATAGAACTGCCGCTTTAAACAGTCAAGTGCCTGAGGTAAGTTTATACTTCAGTTGGAGAGTCCAAACCCTACATTTCTACTTCAACCTGTTTAGCTGCCATTATGGCTCGTTTAAACTTAAATGTATAAAGTGCCACATATCGCTCTAGCTTGGCTTTTAGTTCATCCTCAAATCAATGCTAAATAGTCCGTTTACTTTTAGGTTAAAGAGCTTGGGCTCTTCTATCTATGCTGCAAATAAGTGTGAGTTTTATACCTTTTTAGTTGTCATGATTTTCTCCAAATAATCTAGAATCATAGCTAAATGAAGTGCTGAGCCATGTCTGTCATACATCCCTGGCACTCCCTTGACAACAGAATTGGAGGAAGGGAACATAACAGCTGAATTGCAAACTAATGGAGATGAATTAACTCCAACAGCTACAGGGTTAGCTTCAAAGTGTTGATTGCTTACCTCATAGCTAGATTGTGGGGGTGGTATATGTGGGGGGGGGGAGGGAGGGTTGTGTGTGTCCACTTTCCTCAGCAATGAGAAGACCCAAGAGTTGCACTAGCTAGGTTTGGTTCACCTTGATGGGAGTGGTCACTGAAGACGTGCAGCATTTTGTAATATTTGAGTTTATTTGAGCATAGATGGATGTTACACAGATTGTATCAACAAATCCATTGTTCCACATTGAATTCCTCAGAGAAGTATCCTTTCCAGGCACTTTCTAGAGCTTAAAACTAGAAAAAATTCTGCCTCTTCCATCAGCCTTTTTAGTTGAGGAGCCGGGATATAAGTACCTACTTATATCATATGTTTGCACATCCACAAACTGAGATTACATCATCCTTAATGTGGTGGGAGGTGGGGGGGGAAGAGACTCTCCAGAAAAGGGCCTACCTTTCAGAGCTATTTCCAGCTACTTCTCAGTCATTCCAGATCACTAATTCTGATATCACCGATAACATATGTGGCTGGCAGTGAAGCAACTGACTAATTAAGGGCAAAATCCTATGAATGTTCAGGGAAGAGAATTCTACTCCCAGCCTGTTGCAGCCAGCATGGCTGGCAGTGGAATGCAAAGAGCTACAGTGGTTTTTTCCCCCATCTAACTAAACATATGATTGCACCCTCAGAAATGTTTACACTGTCTTCTTTCCCAGTCGGTTCAGACTTGGATGTGAGGCGAGCCACAGGTCTCCAACTGGAGGAACCTTTAGCTGCGCCAAACCTCTTAAGCCAAATGGCCAAATAATATTTCTGTTCATCGTTCAAGCCATTTATACAGTGCTAGGCCTGAAAGTGAAGTGAATGCGTTAGCCAGCTGCTCTCACCCCTGTAATGCGCAAGCTTCTAGTGAGTCCCACACTGGAGCCTGTCTTTGGAGTACACCAACTGTACAGGCCCGATCCCACCCCGTAAGGGTTTCATGGGTCACTTGCGGGGCAGAGTCTCAAACAGAATGTTCCTTACATACTTCTCCAGACTGTCGTTGGCAGACTGACTCATAATGACCAGCACAATCTTCACCCTGGGTGCACATGGGGTAAAAAGGTCTCTGAGCAGCTCCTCACATTAAGGCTGCAGCTCATTTTTCCCTGTTGCACCTGCTTCTCAGACAGGCTATGCCCTCTCCTGCTCCAGATGATAGAATCATAGAATAGAAGAGTTGGAAGGGGTCATGAAGGCCATCAAGTCCAACCCCCTGCTGTTGCAGGACACCAGTTTACACTATCCCACTCAGATGGCTGTCCTGTCATACATGCTCTTTGCCTGTTTCTATGGCTTTTTTCAGATTCTCTCTCTGAGCATCACCGGCATGAAGCTGGGAGACAAAGCCCCTTCTATCTTAGGTACCGGCTGCAGAATGTTCTTGTCCCAAAGAGGTTCTTTGCAGCTGAGCTTCCATGTCAGCCTTGCAGGGGATGAAGAAGCTAAGTCCTTGCCTCCTGGCACTGAGATCTCAGGGTTGCATCCGCTGCACTGGGGAGGATGCCAAAGTTTGCAGGCTTACCTTACATACATACCTTCTTACACCATCAAAGAGGTGGCCCGACTTGCACCACAGTAACTCAGTGCAACCGCAAGTGTGTTAGGGCTTGGATTCAGATTCAGGTTGAGCTAGTGTCCAGAAAACTGGGGGTGCTCCACACACCTAGAGGCCTTGACTGGGCAGGAAGAGTGAGCAGTCCACAAGAACACACCATGTGGCCTGTATGTGTGCTTGTTGTCCAAATGTGTTGGGATCGTACCTGAGGGTTAGGCTTGGAGTTAACTTTCAGGTTAGGGTTAGGTTTAGGGTTGGGAAAACTTGGGTTTGTGTGTATGTTGTCAGGCCTGGAAATAGCTTTGATTGCACAAAAAGAATGAGCAATGAACAAGAACAGGTTGTTTCTGTATTTCAGAATGCTTTCTGAATGTATAAGGTAGATATACCGGAGTGCTCAGGTCAGGATTATGTTTCAAGTTAGGATTAGGAGGCCTGGGTCACTGTGCATATGTGGGGGCCTGGAAATAGGCCTGACTAGGCAGAAGGAGTGAGCAGTTAACAAGAGCACCCTGACTGTTGCCTTTGTGCTTGTTGTCCGAATTGATGCAGATTATACTTGGGCTGGTGTTAAACTTCAGGTCTGGGTTAAGATACCCAAACAATGGAAACTCGTTTGTATGGGCCTGGTGGATTTTCTGCTTCATTCTGAAACACTGAAATTGAGTTTTGTCCAAATCAGCTGATTCTGCACAAATTCTCCATGGTTTGGGGTATTTATTTACACATATTTCATCAGTGCTTTTAAAAATGTACAAATTGTGGTCTGTCCTAGAAGCAGAAGTACGTCGGCTTAATCAACTTTCATTACAGTGATTTGTCATCAGCACAGGGCCAATAAACTAGCATCTAGAGGTGGGACTGTGAAAATGTTGGATTTTCATTCCCTGTTGGTTTCCTCGCATGTTACTACCCAGAACACCGATGACAGGAGCAGAAACAAGCAAAAAAGCTAGCCCCTGGGCTGGCAAACGCTGGTGGTGCTATAATTTAAGTGGGTTTTAAAATGTGAAACTGCATTGATGCAGACTCTTTCTTTAATCAGGGTTGGAGTCATTTTTTGTTATTTATCTTCTAATGTTTTGGGCAAGCAAAAGTAGACATAAAGCATGCAGTGCATGGTTGTGGTAGAGAAGAGGAATGTAACATGCATGTTTCATAAATGAAGCAACTCATGTGGCTGTCTGAAGACTCCACTACCCCATTAATACCTAATACCCAATTAACGCCTAATGCCATTAAGTCCAGGGTCTAAAATTACCTAGCTTCACCGCTGGATTGTGGGGTGAAAGGATTGACAACCCGTAGAAATGTTTCATGTTTAAATATTCTTCAATGGATTATATTTATGTATTTCTTTTTATTTTTTATACCACCCCAATCCCATAGACTCCGGGCAGTTTACAAGAAATTAAAACCAACAGTGATTAAAATTGGCTAAAAACAACGTATTAGATAAAAGTGATATGAGAGCTAATTTGGGAAGGCCTGTCTGAAGAGAGAGTGCTTAACTTAGAGATAGTGCTTAATTTAAAGCTTTCGTTAAGAGAGTCTTTCCTGTCTTTAACTGCACATATTCTGCCCTCCAACACCTTATAATGGAAGATGGAGCAGCATGCAGATCCGCAGGGGCTGCTGCGAGGGAGTGAGAGGCATGTGACCCTTGCTGAAAGAGGCCTGCGGCAGCTCACCAGAGGCATCGAGGCCGTTCGGCTCGCGACTGCTGGCTCCCCTTGCCATGTAGAGCTCTCGCTAGGATAATGACTCCATTTCGTCCCTTCGCCACAAATTAATCCCAGCAGGGAGCTTGCCTGTATCTACTATCTGCAGACAAATAAATCCTCTGCAGTCCACGGCTGATTAAAGCCCCATTGATTTTCACCTCTTTCGTTCACTTCTGAAGCCTTTTGACTCCTTGTATTGTAAAGTATCCAGCAGCTTCCTTAATCAGGATCCCCACCACCACCCCCTTGTTGTATCAATACAGATATAATATATGGTGAGGATTTTCCTGCTCAGTTAACCTGAAAATTCCTGGTTTGTTCAGAAGGAATTTAAGGCAAGGCGTATATGTTGATTGAGGAGTGTTCTTTCCAGTAGGGCTGCACCTAAAAATAATTCCTGAATCTGTGAGATGTCGCTGTGATAGCTGGCCTGGTGGATCTTGGGTCTTTCACCTTCTCAGGCTGGAGGTCAGACTGGAATAGGAGAGTGGAAGCTGCTTTACCTGCAGTCAGGCACTTGGTCTGTCTAGCTCAATTTGCCTGCTGCAACAGGTGATAGTAGAGCTCCAGGAGATGCTGGGGCTGACTCTGGGACCTTCCACCCCAGAGCTGTAGCTTCACTACTGAGTATTCCTGCAAGGACCAGAAAACTCTGCAGTCATTCCAGAAAACCAGTGGCCCCTTTGTGCTGGGAAAATTTCATAGACCATCATGAGGTGGTATATTTTGCAACTCCTTTTTCAGAAAATTCCACTCTGAACATAGCAATTGCTTTGCTGCAAGAGAGGAAAAGTCCCCCTAAACCAGTATTCTTCTTCCAGCACCACTTGGGTCGACGTTCTGGTGGCTCATGAGCAGGACATGGCCCCGTGCAGTTTGGGCCCAGTCTTGCTGTTTTCGAGGAATGGACAAACCTCATTGTGTTTCCACAGGCTTGTTTTGGCCATGGAGCATGTTAGAACCTCATTGCACTGTTTCGGTTCCCTTGCTTGGTTTTATTCATAAAACATCTCTGTGTGCTTTTCTGCAAGCCTTGGATTTCCCCCAGGCCTCCCGATACCCTCATCCTGTGCATGGGTGGCTGCTACTACTGTTTACCCGGCCTTTCTTGCTCTTGCGAGGAACCCAGGGCAGCTTGCAAGGTTCTCCTCCTCTCTGCTTTATCTTCACAACAGCAACCCGGCCACATAGCTTAGGCTGAGAGTCAGTGACTGTCCCAGAATCACCCAAAAAGGATCACATTGTGGCTCTCCCATGTCCCAGTCCAACACTATCACC